AGCTGAGAGTCCGGATAGCGGTTTTCGCTACTCTCAGAATCGATGAATTCAATAGAACCACAGGATTTTAACTGACCTCAAGAGAGAGATTATAAAATCAACCAGTCAGAGTTTTATTAGAATATAAAGGACTATTCTAAGGACCGTTTGTATGGTCGTATGATAAGGAATAAAACTAATAATAATATCTGTTGACAATCTTAGCTGAAGATGATGAATGATGAGGGAAAACGGTGCGCTTAATTAACTGTTCTTGTCACCTAAATGCCAACCAATTCGATATATATCGGGAAAGTATCACAATTACAAACATTCTAATTTTACCAACGTCAGTTAGCCCGATATATCCAATTTCTGTTGCTCTGCACAAGATGGCCCGATATGGGTCAAATCTGTTGCTTCGGTATTAGTATGTGATTGGACTAGTGCTACATTGGAGATCTATGCCGCAGGACTTGTCGATCGTTGGCCGCAAAACTGGAGATTCGTGTAGCTGAGCGGAAATCTCGGAGGAATACGTAGACGTTAGAGCTTATCCACGACAATATAGGTGGTTGCAAATTTTACATAAATCAAACGACCCATTCAGCTGGCTAAACAATCTTAATGAACCATGGATGAGAAAACTTATAACGGAATTCATAGACCCTTTCAAGTATTATTATGTGGTTGTTCAGATACGGGTCTAATGCAAAAAACGTATTTATTAAACTTATTTTTACATAGACATCAGGGAATAGTAACTCTGTATAGCACAACTACAACGGGGAAGATGATAATACTATCTCAATTTCGTCCGATCTTGGCGATTACAGTATGGGATGTCGTATGCCTATTGTGGACATACCACATAAATCGACCTCCAAGGACCAAATTCCAGGACCAGACTGTATATATGGAGAGAATGTTGAAACTTCTTGTCAGCAAGATCATAGAAATGGAGGAGAACTTGCTTGCTCGCCCAACCACAGTAAACCTCACATTTTCAGTTCGGAAAGGGAGGATTCTGAGATATTTCTTCGGGGCAACAATTCGTTGCGGGACAGCAAAAGTGAGACAGATGAGAGAACAGATATACGAAATGAACAACTGGCATCAGAGATGAGAGTGAAAATGATGCCAACATTGTTTTCAAGTGTCCCAACCAACAAAGAATTCGAGAACTGCAGTCAACCTTGGGGCAACTGCTCCGAATCGGTACCCTGGAGGGCTCTGCATGGACAGAGAAGACCCCGAAGACGCCGTGTTGTCTTGTATTCCCAGACGATCAATCTGAAAAAAAATATGAAAACTCATCCCTGTATTATGTGTCAGCTGGTAATGGACTCAATGAATCATCGTGCAATAATCCGCTTATTGTAGTCGAAAAGATCATGAGCGAATCCGATTCTTTTTGTATTGCAATTTCTCTTCACCTTAAGCTCCAAAGCGAAAGTTCTCAAGATGATGCTATTCATTATGTGAACGAAGATCTTACATGTTGTATAAAGGAAATTAAACGGTATGGTTTCAATCATATCATTATCATTGGGGAGCGTTATTGCGGAATGCTTTTTCTGGACTGCCACGGTCGTGTATTTGATTTGGTATTATGGTTTCTTGGAAATTATTTCGAAATAATGTCAAAGGAATCCGAGACTGGCCGGGTGGCATGGGATGTATTGGATGATGGAACTATATTTGAGATCGATAAATATGTGTATGTATTTTTTACTCATATCTTACCTTAATTTTTTATAACTATTTTCTTTCTTTCAGATTTACCAGAAAAACACAACACTTACCCAATTGTGAAGAAGAACAAGAAAAAAGATAAAAATAAAAAAAAGTGTCAGTGATTTGATTGCATTTATTGCACTCCATTAGTAGAAAATGTGATCTTACAATCTTGGTGAATAATTAGTATACACATATTACAAATTGATGATTATGTTCTGCGTTACTTTGCTCATAATAATTTACCCTATTACTATAGTAATGTATTTTGAATCTAATCTATCAAGCTAATAAAATTTCGGGTTTCTATTTTTTAACTTTGTTATGCTTATATGCAGTGTGATGTGAGTATGAGGTGTGCATTGGAAAATAAAATAGAGACCATGTGTATGCATGTAATTGGCATTACAAAAAAATAATGCACGAATTTTTTTATTGCTTAAACCTACTACTACGAAAATAATGTATAATGAAGCATTTAAAGTTTTAAGTTTACTCAACCCAATTCTCGAAGATAATCTGGAATAACTTATTATAGTGACTGGCACATCTGTAAACCATCCTAATGATTCAGTGATATGTTTAGAGTTACCTCTTATATCGAAGTCAGATGGTTTGTCAGCTTTCCATCTGAGGGCATTAATTGTTGCATCATTCAAGGCTCCAAATTCACTTCCATTATCTAAAAATGATTCAGAAATAGTTAAATCGTTTATACTAGCATTCAGGTATTGTAGAGATGAAAACCACTCATCTGATTCTTTTTTCTGAACTGTATGAGACTGACACATTTTTCGCATTGCTGGTGAAAGCTTAGACAATAATTAAATAACTGATCATATGTTTCAGGCTGGATAGTTACTAGATCAGAAGAAGGGTTAGCAGAGTTACCAGGTAAGTTTTTATTTACTGGTTATGGTACTCGGTTTTTTTTTCAGAATCATCATCATACCATATATCGTTTTCTTCATTATATCCATTATTTTCTTCATTAGCTGAAAAGCTATAATTTATTGGTCAAAAAGGATAATATCATTGTGTTCGATTCGATTTGGCTATCAGTTTTTTGGATTGATTGTTTATGATAACATATGCCCAATTTCACCTACTTTCTCCTCTAATCTACAGAGTTATCTTTTCATTGTGGGCGAGGTCTTTGAAAAGGGTTTTCAGGATAAATTGAATCTAAATCTTTACTATATATGTTGTACCTCAGTTGGGGACCTGTCTCAGTTCTGGACTGAGACAACTGAGTTCTGGACTGAGTGTCTATTTTAGCTAACTGTTTACCGGACATCTACGCACAATTTTAACCAACAGCATTAAACGAGATGGGCTAAAAAAAGGGGATAGGAAATCAGTACTGAGATGATAGATAAATAGATAAATAATAATACGGCGACTTAAACGCGGAAAATTGCGTTATAAACAGCTTTTACGAGTAGACATGGCCGCAAAATCAGTCAAAAACTAACTGCAGTCGTATCATAGAATTATACTGGAAAATCAAAACTTTATAATTCCAAACATTATTATATTTATTATTTATTATTACGGTGTATATGAGCATTAAGTTTGCCCTCTATGCATTCATGACATGTATCTGGCATTTGAATATACTCTATAATGTACAATTAATGTATAACAAATACCAAGGTAACCAACCCCTTCTATCATCCATATCAACTGTTTGCCACAGAAAATTGCGAGCTTTCCCCACTATGTTTCTCAATTCCTCCCGTCAGTAACTTATTGCAACCCTGATACATAATCTTGTACGTTCCCGTAGCTGTCTCGGGCTCAATCTCCCAAGTAACCATTGCCTTACTGTTATCCAGCCAGCTATACCGCGTACTCCAATCACCATCAGCTCTCACATTCACCCACTGCCCGCTACTCTCATCCAGCTTTTGTACATACATGAAACTATCATCTCGAAAATGGTCGTTCCTCGGATTCCCAGTGACGAATTGAATAGAAACTTGTTGGCCCGGGGTGAACGTCGAATTGGCATCGACATCCTGAAGAATATCACCAAACTTTTTGCCAATGGGCGGGATGTCAACAATGACACCCGGTAACAAAGTTAGAGCTTTACCAGTTAGGTCCGGTGGTGGATCACCTGCGTCGGGTATGATCCCATCGACGAAAGATTTGGCGAGGTCGTTGTAAATGCTGATGTAGGCATTGAGAGTATTAGGGCCGTAGATTGTGGAAGCACCTTCGTATCGCTGAACAGCGTATTCTTCAAAAGTGGTTACATAGTGGGTATATTCGTTTGCTGTTTGTAGCGTATGGTTTGTGAGTACACATATAATGGGTGGCGCAAGCATGGAATAGTCTACAAAATGTATTCCTTACCAGGACCAGAAAGCACAACGATACCGTCCTCTCCAATGACCCCGTTTGCGACAAGTGTCGCTTTTGCTGCATTACGAAGTCGTCGTCCAGCCATAGTGGTAAACTCTCCGGGCACAGCAAGAATAACAAAGTTTCCTATTTTG